CCTAAAAGCTAGTCTTCATCTCAGTCCCTGGGATTAATCACTAAAATGTGTGGCTAGGTGCTTATCTTTGAGGTTATGGACAGCTATGCCCCTGAGGACCAGACATCCCCCTTTCCCTGATTCCTCATCCACTCACTGTACCTGAGGAGGCAATGGCAGATCATTCCCTCTCCTGGGAAGTTCAGGCTTCTTGAGATCTTTATCTCTTGTACCCCAGGATGCACTCCAGGTCATCAGCCAGGGACATGGTGGAGTATGGAGACTCCAGATTCTGCTTCCCAAGGAGGTCATAGTCTGAATCTGCCAGAGCGAGATGCTGAGTGGAGTCAGAGGTTTTGTGCTGACTTTGCCATCTTCCTTAGGATGGGTGTTGCCATTCACAATAGGAGTAAAGACAGAGTGACATTATAGGGAAATTGGGAGGGCTTGTGTGGGGTGTCCAGGGAGACTTGGGCTCAGTATGCAGTTCTTTGATTTTGATCCTGCAAAGGCAAGAGGCAGGACTGGAGATTGAACCAGATTCACAGTTTAGGGAGACATTGAGATCTGACTTTTCTAGTTGAAACATAAGATCTTTTCACAGGAGTGAAAAGATGAGGGTATCCTGTATCATTCTTACAGTTCAACTTTGTCACACAGGCCCCATGCAGGAAGATTCCTTCTTAATGAAAGGTTAATATCTTCTTTAATTCCTGCCTGTGACAGTTTCATAGAAATAATTTTTTTTTTGCATCCAGATTTCATTAGGAAATATAATCCTTTATTGATCATTTAATTTAAAATAACAAGTATGTTTTTGGGGAGGTGAAGTAGAAAAGAATAGTTTTATTGCTTTTCCAAACAAAGGGACCATAGCAGGCTTGAAACAAGTACATCTTTTATAAACAAGTTTGCTGGCCAAAAAAAACACAAGTCTTAGTAAACATATAACTTGGAGAAAAGTGCATGTACTAGAGAACAACGTGCTTGTCATGAGCATTTGGCCTTATCATCAATTATATCAGTCAGTATGTCTTTCAGGGACAGTGGTGTTCAACAATATTCCATGAGCTTCTGTAAGTTTCCCAGCCTCCTCAGCAGTTAGGTTGGAGTCATGTGACTGACACCAGCCAATAAACTTAAAAGTGGGTGTAAGCTCTGCCTGCTCTTCCTGTTATTACAAGCATGGAAGCCATTGTTGAGGTGATGGTGTAGAAGATGTTGGAAACTCGATAACCTGAATCCCTTGAGTGGCTGCAGAATGGAGTCCCTTTTAGTGAGCTAATATATTTATTTTTGTGTCTTCTTCCCTTCAATATGACTAATGTTTTTATCACTCTTCTTAGAAGATGAAGGTATTGGCGTCACTATGCTTTCCTTCACCTCTTCTTTTATGCTTCCACTTGCCAAATTGTGGCTTCAGGTCTTTTAAAAAATATATTGTCAAAGTTGGAAATATTGGCATTCTTCTGTAATAGTAATTGTCTTTGGGCTTTGCTCATAGCTTAATTTTAAAAGTTGGGTGGGGGGAAGTTCTTTATCACTTTTAAAACAACTTTATGTAATCATTTTAGGCTTGCCCTTGGAGCTGCAGTAGTATGATTTCTTTTCAGTGATGTTCTGGGTTGAAACCACTGTTTCTTGGATTCCTTGCTTTCCTATTTTCTGAATAACAACTTCACTTTTCCAAGTCATATTCTTAATCAACAAGTCATAATCTTAATCAACAATCAGTAAAACTATGTGTGCTAGGCAAATTTATATCCTTTCATTTCTAACATTATTTTTATTCTTCATGCCTGATCATGATTTTGAAAAGGTACACATTTGTTAATAGAAAATGTTTCCTTTAGAACTTTCAGACCTTTCTAATTATCTTAATTATAGTTAATTATATAATTATAGTAGTATAGTATAATTAGTTATAGTAGTATCTGGCAATCTTTTTTTTGTCTGTTACAAGTTTATTTTTTCCACCACCAAGATGCTTTATGGTATTTTGAGGTCCTGAAAATTTTTAAATGATGTATTTAGGAATGAATCTTTTGTCACTAATTTTGCTAAATATATAACTGTCCCCTGCCATGCAAAGAGGTTCTTCATATCTGGACAATTTCCCATTGCTATTTGTTTTGGTAATATTGTATCTTAATTTTTTGTTCCTCTCTCTAGCTCTGTTACCTGATGTAACAATAGACTTTCCTGAATGTATTCTCAATGTCTTCTTTTCTTCTATACATTATATTTCTTTGTCTTCTTCTTTTTTTAATTTTAGAGAAAATTCTTGGTTAATTTTCCAAGCTTTATGTTAAATTTTTCATTCTTAGCCCCCATTATTACTTTTATATTGGTAAAGAATCCACCCCTCAGTGCAGGAAACACAAGAGACATGGGTTTGTTCCCTGTGTTGGGAAGATCCCCTGAAGTAGGAATTGGCAACCCATTCCAGTATTCTTGCCTGGAGAATTTCATGAACAGAGGAGCCTGGTGGATTACAGTCAAGGGGGTCACAAACAACCAGACATGACCGAGCACACACAAGCAAGCAAGCATTACTTTTATTAGATGCAGTATCTTTTTTCCTTCTGATAATTCTAATTAGAAAGGCTTTAAAGTTTGTTTAAATAATTTTGTTTGCTCTTTTTTTTTCAGTTTATTTGCTCTTAAATGAACTCTCTTTACTAAGTATGTGGTGATTTTTATTCCCATCTTTTATTTCATGTTGTAAGATTTTCTCAAACATTTGCTCTGCCCTCCTTAACTTTGTTCTTTACCTACTATGCACCATCTTATTTCATCTCAAGATACATTTCTTCAAGTCTCTTCTAAACTCTACCAAATTTTACATGGTGTCTGTGCAATACTCTTCTGTGTTACCTTTTATTTTTTGTTAAATTTTTCAGAGCTTCTGATTATATATTTGTGGAATTATTTCATGTGTGTATATTTCCTTGCCTGGAGTGTAAATTCTTTGAAGACAATGAATATATCTGTTTTCACATTATTTTAATATACTGAGAACATGGGATGGTATGTGTGATAACACTGGTACTCAGTAACCATTTTTGTATTACTAATTAAATTAATCATCAGGTTACCAAAGTTTGGGGATTAATTCAGCCAACAATAAAGGGAAAATTACTTTGCTTACCTTTACTATTATTCTTAGTTGCATACATATATATATATATATATATATATATATATATCTTTAAGGTTACATTTCTGAGAGGTTCCTGTAGTCTGGATTAGCATTTGTATACTCAGAGTTTCCTAAGTATGATAAAACTGAAGAAAACTTTAAAAAATGACATAACTTTAAATAGAATGCCCCTCTGCTTACTTCTTTTTTTTTTTTGCTTTCGCTGAATATTTTTTAGAAAAACTTTGTATTATGGAAAATTTCAACTATATACCAAAATAGGAGCATAGTATTGGGTATCAGCAATCTAGCTTTAACAATTATCAACTCATGGGGAATTTTGTAAACCCATCTACTTAATCTTACACACAGACTTGCAAAATGATCTCAGAATCATATCATTTCATTCATAAATATTTTACTACAAGAATATAAAATGTAATGAGTTTTTAGAAATAATAATGCCATGAGCACACCTAAAATTAGATACATAATTCCTTACTGTGTTTAGTGTTCCAGTTTTTATGATTGTCTCACAAAAATTTTTTAGGTTATTTTATTTGTATATGAATCCAAACAAAGCCTAGCATTTGGTCCATATATTTCTTTTTTTAATGTATTGTTTATCTGTTCTTCATTTTTCCTAGCAAATTATTTGCTGAAGAAGTGGAATTATTTGTCCAGTAGAACTTCCTGTGTGCTTAATCTTGTTGGTTGCATCCTTCTGATATAATTTACCATGAGATTTATGGTTTGGGTTCCAGAAAATAGCAATAACACAAATTGTTAACATTTGTTTCCTGCTTAGTATGTGCCAGCTATGTGTGAAGTGCCTGATTTGTACATTAAATCCTTCAAAATCCTTGTCTGTATGTGGTAAGTACAAACTTGATATATTTTTATGTGATTTTCAAGTTGTAAATTTAAAATAGCATATTGAATATTAAAGTCTCATTTTATGCATGTACTCTGAAACAATTCAAATAATTGTTCAAGAATCACATAATTTGAAATCATGAGGACTGATTTCCATCTCTGTTCATAGTAATATCATATGGTGGCTGATAAAAATAAATATTTGTTCTTATTTTTTGGAATTAATTTTATTTCTGTTAAACCTAAACAAAGACTTAATGAATGAATTCCTTTAATAAAATGCAACTACCATGAAATTTGCTTTCCTTAGTATCTCATGGGGAAGGAGTACAGCATTTGTCTATTTCCAGGACACTGATAATAATGCTATACAATATAACCCTATATTATGATAACATATAAAATGTAAACACACACACTACCTCCAATATTCTGGGTTGTTAGCTGATGAATCATTATACTTACATAACATTTACTTGAAATTCTGTTGCCAAAAAATTCTCAGCCTATTTATGTATTTTAAGTGACCTACATTTCTTTCCATATTAAAATTGTTATTTTATACATTTGGGATGATAAATACCCATCTAATTTTATTTAATCACTCATGTTAGAGTAGTTTTAGTTTCATACAAAATTAATGGAAGGTAAAGAGATTTCCACACCTACATTGACACATCGTTAGAATGCAAAGTTGATAGTTTACATTAGGATTCACTCTTAATGTACATGCTATGGCTTTGTATGGCATGTATGTACTATTGTAGCATCATACAGAGTAGTTTCATTGCCCTAAGTATCTGTTATGCTCTACTACCTATATTTTCATGAACAGCTCTGGTTCAGATTCCTTGCATTTACTAATTCCTTGTCTGTACTTTAAATTATTTTCTTGCTTCTACCTCGCAGGCAGCTTTTAATTCTTCTCCCCACTTCTCCTCAAAATAAGCATGGATAAAGATCTGTTGCATATACCATAGCTTGACTAAAAATTCATAGGCCATAAGGAGGAGACATATCTTTTATTAGAGAGTAAAAACACAAAATCAAATATTACAACTTGCCCTGAGTTCTCTCAGCAACCCCTTTGTCAGTGATGTGTCACTAAGCCCTATACCATGTCTATTCTCTAAGCCTAACCCAGTCCCACCTCCGCTCATTTTGGAGAGGAAAAAAAATTCTCCAACAACATATGAAAAGAAATTAATCTATAGCTCCAAGTTTGAACCTCCTAAATCATTAAAGGACTCAGAAAAACAATTTTCATATAACCTATTCATTTAAATAAAATATGGATATAACTAGCAATGTTTTCTTATGTATTTCTATACTATGTATAAAGTACTTTCTATATAACGAGAGATTATTCAAATTCTGTCAATAACTCTGCAAAGAAAGTATTGCCACTCTAACTTTATGAATTGGAAAATAAGATTCAGAAATGCTAGATACTTTGTCTAATGTTATAATTTAAAATCCTAGCTATAAAGTGCTGAGTCCTGTATTTGGATTTAGGTTTCTTTGCACCAAAATCTACTCTATCAGTTGCTGTGTTCATATTGTGTCTTTTTTCCCAGACACATTTTTTCTATTTTTTATATAAATATATTTAAAAAAAAATCTTTGCAAGGTAAGTCAGGAAGAGAAAAACAAATATAGTACATTAACACATACATATGGAATCGAGAAAAATGATATGATGCACTTATTTGTAGGGAAAGAATGAAGACACATTCTCTCAGGGAATGGATTTGTGTTCCAATCATATTTTAAGCTCACTGATGCAGTTGGCCTGGCCAAGGACAGTTTCATACATTTCATAGTTGCTCCATAAAATAATCTGCAATGCAATGTATGGACTTAGTAATTGCAGAGTGGAAAGACTGAGGCAATGAACCTGTAATTTTGAAGGGCAAAATGACTCCAAGTCAAGTCACACACATTCCCAAGTGAGGCCTTCAACACACTGAGGAGAGCCAGAGAATCTCATCTGTTGATCCATCCCCACTACAGGGACTTCCACTAGGAGACAGTGAGTCTAGAGGAGGATATGGCACCCATAGCTGCAGCCACATTATCTCATCTATGCTGTTCCTCCAGAGATTTCTCTCTTGTAAGCTTATGGTTTCCTTTGCCAGGAGGGGTGAGGGGCAGGAGCTGAGGATACTGGTGGATTATCTCGAGGGCAAACAGGGATGCACAGAGATTCAGTGAGCCTGACTTAAGCTCATCTGCTTAGGAGCAACCTGGAGCCATATTCACTCTATTGTTCCACACATTCCATGTCAGGAAAAGTCTACATGGTTTTCTGGCAGGGATTCAAGTAAGACATGAAGCAAACTATAGCTGTGTTCTTAAATATGTCTGTGGTTTCTACATCCATCCATTTTCCCATTGTTTCTAACTCTAAATAAAGACAAAGTATTTGGTCCTTCTCAGATACCTGTTTTATTGTCTTATTCTAATGTTTTCCTAACAAACATATTTCTTTTCCCACCTAGATAATTCTTATCTCTTCAAGTGTGAGAGGGGGAGAAGAAAGTTTTTCTTATCACCACTAATTCTTTAAGAATTAAAAGTTCTGAAAACTAATTTCTTGGTACTAAAACTAAGTTCCTGGTACTTTAGAGATTCAAAATTCCTTTTCCCCAACTTATTTTTCTGTCAAAATTTAAAAAGTGATATTAAAATAAGTATCACTTTATGTCTTGGCTTTTGTATTTTTGTTTTAACAAATCTGCACCAAAGGCAGAGAATATATATAAGCTTCACTGATGTCTGAATTTGCGGGTGTGTGGCAGTGGCTAAGGATGGAAAAAAAAGGAAGACAGAAATATTAACTCCAGCTAAGATACCAAAATATTATCAGTCTCTACAAGCTGCTCCTGTGTTACTGGGCATGAAATATAATCTGGGAAATGAGGTTCAAAGGGCCTGAAGTAGAAGAGGCCATGGTTCTAATCAGCCCTGAGATGAAAGATGGGAAAAAATCAGTAAAGACCTCATAAAGGCATTTATTTCTTCCATGGATATATTAGCTTAAGGTCATTGGTGGATTAGGTAGCTGGGTGGGATATCTCAGGGATCCCATAATCATTAACAATTGAGAAAAGAAAAAACTGGAAGGTCAGGGGAGAATCCCAAATGTATGTGAGCTCAGAGATGATACAGCACCTTAAGTCCCAGAGAAGAAGTATGAGGAGGAGGGTAGGAGGAGAGAAGGTACATGATGGACTGGCCAGAAAATAGTTCTAGGTCATCTAGCAAGTCCATTTTTTCTGTTCTCAAAGATGGACAGTGCACCTGCAAAAGGAAAGACATGAAATCAGTGGGTTCCAGGGGGCTCCTGTGCCCTTTTCAAGCTGTTTGCCAATTCAGCAACTTTCAACCACATTTGTGTCCATAACCTCTTCCCACTTTCCCTTGTCTGTACTATGTCCCCAGGTACAACAGATCTGAATTCTTACCTTCTTTCTGGAGTGTGACTCACAATGGCCCCTGGTGTCTAGAGGGGCCACCTGAGCGCAGACCTCGGAAGATGAGGACGGTGCCCACCACGATGCCCACGAGGCCCACAGTCAACCCCAGGGCACAGACCACAGTCTCTGTTAGTTCTGACATAGAGGCTGGAATCTCAGGTTCTGTGAAAGCGAAGTTGTAGAACTCAGAATACAGAACGTTTCTGTGCATGTGGGTGGGATGGGGCAAGGAAGGGTTGGCTTCACAGACTTAGGGTATGGGGCTTAGGGAGGAGAGTGAGGTCTGTCATTAGACACCCTTGGAATGTGAAGTTTAGGGCCATGAGGTTTAGCAGATGACAGGCAGGGTGTTCTGGACTTGACAGAGAAAAGAAGGTTCCAAAAGGGTGGAACTTGTACATACCCCAGTGTTTTAGCAGTGGCTTATCCAGGCCCCAGTGTTCTACTTTGCAGTCATAAACATCATCATCAGAAGGGAGGAAGGTGAGGTAACTGATCTTGGAGAAGGAATGATCGTCCTTGGAGAGGAAGCTGGTCTCAGAAACACCCTCTGTGACCAAGTGCCTGTTCTTCAGCCATGTAATGTTGATCACAGGAGGAAAGATGTTGTCCACATGACAGATGAGGGTGTTGGGCTGACCCAGCATCATGGGAGACTTGGAAAACACAGTCACCTCAGGAACCTCTATGGTGAGGAAACAGCACAGATGTGAAATGGAAATATCACTGCCCATTGCCTCTGGAGGAGCCCTCCCAGCAATGTCGCCCTGTCTAATAGTGGAGGAGCTCTTGTTTCCCTTCTGTTTGGGAGGCACCGTATGTTGCTTCTGCTTTATCCCTGTCCCCCTGTTTTGGATGACCTGCCTGACAAGCAGGAGGTCTGTGGGACCTCTCCATGAAATATTCAAAGATTGTGTTACGGGAGTAGGGATCTTTCTATCATATGGAAATACGTGAGTTGGAAGAAGGCAGAGGATGAGGGTTCAGCTATTACCATGAGAAAATATGGTGACTCCTTGGAAAGGAGAGAGTTTTATAAAGTGAAGGGTATCTATCCCTTGGGAAAAAGGGAGTGAGGCCTGGTATGAAAGGGTAGATTAATAAAGAGAGGCAGAATGGTGAACACATACTGTTGGTAGCAGCAGTAGAGTTGGACCTTTGAATCAAGATCTTCAAAACATTTTTCATCAGAGCTATGTTTCTCAGTGCACCCTGAGGGTCAAAACCTTCAAATTTACTGAACACAGGCAGACGCCAGACAGTTTCCTTCTTTTCCAGGTCCACGTAGAACTCTTCATCTCCATCAAATTCATGGGTATAGTAGCCAGAGGGACCATATGAGTGGTAGACGTTTATGCCATAGGCGCCAATGTGGTCAGCTGAGGAGCAAGAAAGGAAAAAACAAAGAAAAGATCCTTATTAAGCAAAGTGAAAGAAGAAATTGACTATCAAACATTGTGGGCTTCATTTGTGACCCAGTTTCTAGACAAAATTCCCAGTACCTGCTCCTCCTTCACTCTGTGTTGGTAGTTGTCCACTTAGTTAAAAAGCCTTGCAACAATGCCTCCTTATCTTTGCAATGAATCTTGACTCCTTTTTCAGACAGGAATATATGTAATATCTTTTTCATCTGGTACTTGTCCTGGACTACCAACTGTTGCTGAAGAACATCACTCCACTGTGTCAATTGGAACTAATTCACTTTTACAGTTTTAGTCTCAGGTGGATTCATGGTCCTGCTCGGCAGTGGTCCTTCTGCTTTCCTGCACCATTTCTTTCCATCACTAATCCATGTACCCTCTAGGGGACAGAAATCTTGTCTTTTCGTCTTTGAATCCCCAAAATTCTGTGTGCTCAGAATGTGTATTAAACATCAATTGTTATTCTTGAGAATTACAGAGATTTGGAGGAAAACTGACAGACATAGGCAGCAGAACCATACAGAAGTCAGAATCAGCAGTGACCGGAGCTGCATTATGACTTGTGAGCCTTAAGCATTCTTGCTTTTGTCAGTGCCGCCTTTTATAAAAATACTAAAAATGTATTTTATAGCCATATGATACAAAGACAAATATAATTCAGGTTGGATTAAAATTTAAAGCATCTCCCCTACTCTAAAAGTATGTTTTTCTTCTAATTTTTAAAGAAACAGTTTTTATGAGCCCTACAAGCATTGCAGGCCCTCAGCACTGTGCCCACTGTGCCTAATGTGTACTCAAGCCTGACAAGGATGCTCTGGTGTGATGAGGCAGAGAGAAAAATTGGAAGTGCTCTGGAGAAGAAGGTGAAACTTGCACTACCATACAAAATTAGAGTGGTAGCTGCCGTGGTTAATAAAGTTGTTGAAGGTGAGCCTAACCTTTCTTTCACCTCCCTTTTAAACCATTTGGCTTTTCTACTTTGGTTTTTACAAACCAACTTTTCCTGTCTTTGAAACAACAGAGATATGAGCTAGGGATGGATCCTGGAAGGAAAGGAAGATGAAGAAATGTATGAAGAGAGCGTGGAAAGAGGGGGACAGCAAGGCACAGGGTCCTAAGGGACCATGTAATTAACTTGTGCTTGCTCAGTTTCCCTATACAGGTCTTCATTACATGAATTGAAAGATAGGCAATTTGGGCTGACAAATTGAGAATAATATAATTTAAATCTCCAAATTTTCCTTCATAAAGTTCTTAACTTTAAAATAAAGGTAAATATATTCTCTACTTTGTTTTAGAAAAATATGAAGTTATACTTGTGATAGCAATAATCTAAAAATAAGAATAATCACTGATATTTATGTGTCTTCATTACTTGTAAAGCATTTCTACATGCTTTTTTTATTTGATTATTTGTGAGGTGACACAAATGAAGTAACTGAGATTAAGTGAGAACCATGTAATAAAATGCTTTGTCTAAAGACACTCAGCTGGGCTTGCTCATCTACCTGTGCCAGAATGCCAGCATAGAAATGTATGTAGATCTGAGACCAAGTAACGGTTACCTTTCTTCGTATCCATACAGTATTCATAATTCATGAAACTATATACCCCAATATAAACTTTAGGAGAAGTACAGAAAAAGCTTCAAAAGTTATTCAGAAAATTTGGGAGCAATAGCTCATGAAATTTTTTGTAACAAAACATCTACTTGTGAAAACATCTCTAATCTTTGAGACAATTGTGAATGAATGCCCTAGAGCCCTCCAGAACATATTCACTGGATCCAATATCAGAAACAGAGCATGCAACAGCACAAGTAACAAAGAGAGTGGGTCTGGACTCTGATTTCCTGAATGTGCAATGACGGTAACTTTTAGATTTGCTTAATATTGAGAATGCTTCCAGGAGTCTCTATTTCTAGGCCAATCCTCCCACCCCTCCAATTCCCTGTCCCCAAACTTCAGTCTCCGTATCATTCAACCGTGCACTCACCTACGATGTCTTCACTCCCAGAGGGACTCATCATGGTGGTCAGGGCGAGGGCCCCCAGAATCAGGGCTCTGTTCAGGATCATCCTGTTCTCAAGGTGGTCTCAGAAGTTGCTGTTCTGAGTTGCAGAGCAATGATGTGGGCTGAGACGGAATTCTAAAGATACCCAAACCACACTCTGTCAGGTTAGGTTTTGGCCAATCAGAAAAATCCTCTATGATGACACCTCAGTTGCCAGGTGGAGACTTTGTACTAAGAGGCCTGGAAGGGACTGGGAAATCCCCAAGTTCTGGTGCAGGCTCTGGTCAGAGTGGACTTGAGGGATTTTTCTGTGAAAGGAAGGAGAGTATTAAATCAGAGTCTTCTTATATATGCGTGTATGCCTGCTGGTGATGAGGGGATGGGGATTTCTGAACAGCCTCCTGGGTAGATGAAGATACAGCTAATTTGATGTTCAACAGGATATTCTGGGCTACAGTTTCCAAAAAATCTTCCCTGAGTTGGTCCCCCTCCCTCGCAGGTCCCATTCCCTCCCCTTTTTATTGACTCTATATGTAGGTTAACTGTCTTTCTGTTTGTTTCCATGGTGCATATGGAATTCTTTAAATACTGAGTTGATCCAAGTGATTTCTGCCAAGTGGTAGCCAAGGAATACCTTTGCCTTTTCTACCTGTAGAAATCCAGTTGAGTAAATTATTCTCATGTTCTCAAAAACTCCAGTATTTGCACTCAGGGGAATAAAAAGACTCATAAGGTCATATAGTGCTGCCTAAAGTAACTGCATGATCTTTCATTTGAATTTTTCGCCTGCCTTGAGTGTTCTTTATGTTCTAAGTTTTGGTGAACCTACTCATATTTAAAGGAATTTGGGGATCATTGATTACATTAAAGGACATTCTGGTTAACTTGCTGTATAATTAAATATGTCAACTCAAATATTGAGGGTAGAATTCAGGGAATTGTCCTGACTTAGAAAATTAGTTTTTATCCTTTACTCTATATTTTAGTATTATTTATCCTGCCACGTTAAAACTCCAGATATTTGTGAGAGACTAATGACTGAGCTAAAGTCAAAAACAATTTTTAGAGGGGGAAACTTATTTTTTCAAAATAGTTGATGTTTGTGTGTGTGTTATGGAAGCCACAGGTTAATGGGGGTTCCATTTGGAATCAATCACCCTGTCCTTACTAGATGTTCCTCCGTTTCTCAGCACTGTCTTAACTCACAGTGACAAAGACTATAAAGAAGAGTGAGACAGAAAAAGCCCTGGTGTCTAGAGCTGCTTGTAATTAGGTCTTGTTGTTGCCAGGGGCTGGCCTGCTACTCACAACTAGGTTTTTGTGTTTTCTTGTTGAACATAAGCAGTGTTGTACAACAGCATCAGACAGCCATTCTGTGACCAGGATGGATCAAAACAGAAAACAAGGCCCCTTAGAAATCATGTCTCAACACAGACTAAATATGAACAGTGTCCAAATCATGAAAATGACCAAGCATACTTCTGTCCTAGATAGTGTGAATGACTTCTGCTTCTTTACTAATTACAGCTTTAGCCTCAGTACCTTCTAGGTAAGAGTTACTTAGATGCCTGATTATAGAATTATCCCACCCCACCACCTATTATAACTCTTGACAGAATCTAGTTGAGAACAAAGTCACTGTTTCTTAAATTGTCCTCAAAATCACCAACACAAGCTTAAATCCTATAGTAGTTTAAGGGTCAGTTTCATGTGTTGCCAAGGCTATGTTCCTCAGTTATTCACTCAAATACTTATATAGGTGTTGTTCTGAAGACATCCTGTACATGTGATTAAAGTCCATAATCAGTTGACATTAGGTAAGGGAGGTGAGCCTGGGCCAGTAAGTTGAAAAGTCTCAAAAACAGAGCTAAATTTCCCTGAGGGAAAAGAGATTCCACTGTGGGCTACAGCATCAGCCTGTGCTGAGAGTTCCTGTGCTGAGAGTTCCAGCCTGTGCTGAGAATTCCAGCCTGCCTTTCCTGACAATAGCCCACCTTATGGTCTTGCACTTCCCTAGTTCACCCTCAGTTCAGTTGAGTTCAGTTGCTCAGTCATGTCTGATTCTTTGCAGCCCCACAGACTGCAGCTCACCAGGCTTCCCTATCCATCGCCAACTCCTGAAGCTTGCTCAAACTCATGTCCATCAAGTCAGTGATGCCATCCAAACATATCTTCCTCTGTTGTCCCCTTCTCCTGCCTTCAATCTTTCCCAGCATCAGGGTCTTTTCCAATGAGTTGGTTCTTTGCATGTCAGTTCACCCTCACATTGTGTAAACTAATTCCTTGCAATAATTCTCTTAGTAGATCTCTCAAAAAAATTCTGCTTCTTTGATTCCAACATCATCACATGAAGATACCCCATGATTCTCCATGATGAGTTTATGAGCAATAAAACCAACTTGTTCATCCATGGATGTATTTCTGATGGACTTTGAAGACATTAACAGCACTTCATAATATTGTTGTGAGGAACATGTATATACTGCATCTGGAATGAAAACTTCCCAGGGCTTTTTAACTATACTTGTAATACATAATATTAATATCATCTCCATTTGACAAGGAGGACACTGAATTTCAGAAAAGTGGAAGTATTTGCCCAAGGTCACACAACTGATGAGTGCAGAGCTGAAAAGTGACAAGGGCAAATAACGAGTCTCTGTGAAGGGAGGGAGGGGTCACCTGTATGACCTCAGAATACAATGTCCTAACATAATTAGGATAGATATTTGACCCTATAGTGGTTTTATCATTCTTTTTAGTCTCTTCTGTTATGGATGGATCAGGAGAAATTTTCAGGTTCTACTTGAGATATGCTCTTTTTACCACACAGCATTCTCCTTTCTATGTAGTAAATAACACCTCTCTCTCCCTCTCTTCTGTTTTTTTCTGTATCCAGACTTACCTGCTTGATATTTTATAGAAATCACTTATGATTTAGCAATTGGTCAGGAGTTTTCTTGATGGTGCATCAGAATTTCACCTACTAATATTATAGTTAAAAAATACAACTCAAATTAGGAAGTTAGGATGTTAAACCTCAGGATCAGAATTTTATCTTGGGTGGGAAGTTGAAGACAAGTCTCAGATCTCGCATTCTGTGGGATGCAGAAGAAGTCCAAGCAAGGCAATGTCATTCACTAGAAGAAGATGGGCTCTCTGCAGAAGAAGATGGGTCTTTTTTTTTTTCATATTACTCCTAATTAACATTTATAACATTCTCTAAGAAGCTGTGTATTTTGAAATTCTTCAGTTCTGACTTTCAACTGTTTTGTCCTGATCCAGCCCTAGTTATTATGATTAGTGAAATTTTACTAAAAATCTCAACCTCTACCATCTTGCAGTAAAAATGTGTCACAATAACAACAGAGTTCAGAGTAGTAAGGTAAAAAAGAAGATGGGCTTTGCAATCAAGTGAATAAATATTCAATAATGGTTTTGATTTTATTACCTGTCATCTTGGGCAAGTGACTCAAAATATAGCCTTAGGGTATTTTATCATAAAAATGGGATGAAAACTACTACATGATAGTTAATATGGATAAAATGAAATAAATATATACAAATAATAAGGTTTAAATACAGTCCAGTGCCTGGAACATAGCAAGTATTCTCAAATGAGATCCACTGTATAGTATTGGAGATATCAAGGGACATTTTCATGCCAGGATGGGCACAATAAAGGACAGAAATGGCAAGAACCTAACAGAAGCAGAAGAGATTAAGAAGGTGCCAAGAATACACAGAACTATACAAAAAACAGTCTTAATGACCCAGATAACCATGATAGTGTGGTCATTCACCTAGGGCCAGACAACCTTGAGTGTGAAGTGAAGTCGGCCTTCGGAAGCATTACCATGAACAAAGCTAGTTGAGGTGATGGAATTCCAGCTGAGCTATTTCAAATCCTAAAAGCTGGTGCTGTTAAAGTGCTGCACTCAATATGTTAGCAAATTTGGAAAACTCGGCAGTGGCCACGGGACTGGAAAATATGTTTTCATTTCAACCCAAAAGGAAGGCAATGCCAAAGAATGTTCAAACTGCCACACAGTTGCACTCATTTCACATGCAAGCAAGCTTTTGCTCAAATTCTTTTAAGCTAGGCTTCAACAAGTGTTTCCCAGGTGTTGGTAATGGTAAAGAATCCACCTGCCAACATAAGAGACATAAGAGAAGCCAGTTTGATTCCTGGGTTGAGAAATCCCCTGGAGTAGGAAATGGCAACCCACTCCAGTATTCTTGCCTGGAGAATCCCCATGGACAGAGAATCCTGGCTACAGTTCATGGGGTCACAAAAAGTCGGACATGACTGAAGAGACTTAGCATACAGCACAGCACAGACTTCAACAGTATGTGAACTGAGAGCTTCCAGATATACAAGCTGGGTTTAGAAAAGGCAGAGGAACCAGAGATCAAATTGCCATCATCTGTTGGATCACAGAAAAAGCAAGGGAATTACAGAAAAACATCTACTTCTTCTTCATTGACTATGCCAAAGCCTTTGACTGTGTGGATCACAACAAACTGTGGAAAATTCTTAAAGAGATGGGAATACCAGACCACCTTACCTGCCTCCTGAGAAATCTGTATGCAGGTCAAGAAGCAACAGTTAGAACTGGACNCTGCAGCCCCCAGGCCTCCCTGTCCATCACCAAGTCCCAGAGTTTGCTCAGATTCGTGTCCACTGAGTCGATGATGCCGTCCAACCATCTCACCCTCTGTCGTCCCCTTCTCCTCCTGCCCTCAATCTTTCCCAGCATCAGGGCTTTTCCAGTGAGTCAGTGGGCTTGTACAAAAGTATAACGATATATAGCCAACACTGTCATATCATACAGAATCTTTGCATTGCCCTAAAGTCCTCTGTGCTTTGTCTAATCATTCATGTTGTTCAGTTGCTCAGTCTTGTCTGACTCTTTGCGAACCCATGGACTGCAACACACCAAGCTTCCCTGTCCTACACCTTCCCCTGGAGTTTGCTCAGATTCATATCCATTGAGTTGGTGATGCCATCCAACCATCTTGTCCTGTGTCATCCCCTTCTCCTGCTGCCTTCAATCTTTACCAGCATCAGGGTCTTTTCCAGTGAGTGGTCTCTTCCCATCAGGTGGCCAAAGTGTTGGGGCTTTAGCTCTAGCTTCAGTC